AGAAGGTATCTAAAAGAAACAGTCTGTTTGGATTGTTTGGTGATTTTGGAACCTTTGGAAATTACTTCTGATTAAATCATCTGGGTGGTTGTTTGGAAAAACTTTTTCTCTACACAATGGCATCATCTATGGATGAATTGGAACTTATATATCAAAAATTTGAAAGAGAAAAACAAGGAGGGGAAGATGGTCTTGACACTATTTTTCAATACTTGGAAATGGCGGTGTATACTTATGTGAAGCAGAATGAGGATGATGGGGACAAAGAAGAAGGAGAAGCCATCTTTGATGAACAAATTACTTTGACTGGAGAAGAGAAAAAGCAAGAGAAAAAGGGGAAAAGGTCTCTAAGATCTGGAAAAATAGCCCAAAAAGAGAAGAATAAGGTGAAAAGGGGACATTATGTTAAGAAACATCAGAAAGGGAAAAAGCAGAATAAAAGGGAGGTGGAGAGACAAGGGGTTAAAGAGGATAAGGAGAAGAAGAAACAAGAAAGAAAGGAAGGGATGAGAAGTCCTAATGGTGGGGAGCAAGATGTTAAAAAGCAATTTTTTTTTAGAGATAATGGATAAGCTTTATGGTTAAAGGGATTCTAGAAAGGTACATAAGATTGCATTTTTATACTTGTATTTAGAAGTAAACATAGAAAATTAGAAACAATATGTAACCTAAAATGTGATAAAATATTTAACATAAACAAGTGAAATTTTTGTTAAGAAAAAGGGAGTACTGTAATGAAATATGATTCAAGATTGTGATGTGGGGGGGGGGGGGTAATAATCGTGGAAAGCATAAGTGTTCCCACAAAGGCATGATATTCAATTGAAATGGATAAAATGTTTAAGATATAAATGATTGTTAATATTAATAATTAGAAGATGGTATATTAGCAAACCCTTTGTGAAATGAGATTTGAAGTAGAAGGAGGAGGAACATTTCAATGAAATATTGAGCTATAATATGTGATGTGGGGGGGGGATAATTTTGAAAAATAGGGCTCTTATAAAAGCATGTGATCTAATTGAAAAGTAATGAGTTAAACATCTAAGATATGAATGAATATCAATATTAATGAATAGATTTGTATTATTTTTGATAATATAGTATAATTTTAGAATGTACCAGACAGAATCCCAATGTATATTATGTATTTTATATTAAGTACTATAAATATAGGGGAAAAAGATAAAGGCATCATACTCCATATAGTGTATAGGAGAAGTACTTCTTCTTTTTTATTAAAGAAGAAAAATAAATGACTGGCTGGAATAGAACAGACAAAGAATAATAAATATTACGATATGAATTGAGAGGAGATAAAAAAATAAAAAATAAAAAAATTGAGAAAATTTAAAGGAGAGGAGAAGTTATATAGAAAATTGAAAATGTTAAGAAGATATGAAATGGTATGTAAAATGAATATGAAATTGAACTTGTGCCTGTACCAAGAGTTTTAACCCGGGAATAAGCAACTTTCAGAAAAGAGATTTTTTATACTTTTATGTTTTGTGTTTATGTGTATTTATGTATTGTTTGTCTTGAAAAATAAAATTTGTTTTTTTTAAAAAAAAAAACCATTACGGTTGCCTGCCACTAGGTGGGCATGACTGGGTGGGCATGGCCAGCTCGACACTGATCACTGGGTGCAGCTGACTTGGGATTGCTGAGTCAGGATGGAACAAGTCACACCGACTAACTTAACGTGGAAACAATTCGGTGCCCCACAAGCTCAGCTCCCCAAACTGCTGGCAGCCAAGCATGTGCACACACACACACACCTACACACATCTGCCTTGACACATCTCTGGAGAGTAAGAGGAGGCGGCAGGGCAGCAGGACTCCCTGGTCCTGCATGAGGGAGGCTGGTTCTTCTTGAAAGGGAATCCCTGTTTGTATGGTAAGGATGCTGGTGTGTTGGGGCAGCCTTCCCTCACACAGCCCCCCTGCCTCCCCTTCCTCCTCCAGAGATTTGCACTTCAATGCGTAGCAGTGTTGTCCTCCACCTCCTGTGTGGGCCAGGCAAGGCTGGAAGGGGGATCCGTAGGTCTCCAGTGTAGGAATGCAAGACCCTGCAGCCCAGCCCAGCCCCGTTTCCCTGAGAGGGCACCCAGCTGTGCTTACCTCCTGCTCGAGGCTGCTGTTTCTGAGCTCACTCTCCTTGGCCAGTGTTAACATTCTGACTGACAAACCCAACCAAAACAAATACCTTCAAGATCTTCCAAAGGTTGAATGCAAAACTTTATTGAGTACATCATTTCAGCACTGAAAAAGGCAAAACCAGCTCTAATTAATTCCCACATTAACCCATGGACCTTGTGGGCTGGATCTGGCCCACCTACCACTTGAGGCTGCTGGATACTTATGGCAAGTAAGGAACTCTTGCCTAGAATAATTCAGGCTTACAGAAACACTGCAGCATGATGACCGAAGGAAGGCAAAGAAAAGGCTAAGCCATCCCTTAATGAGCTGGTTTATTCACTATTCTACATATACAGGCTCATAGTATTTTAACTTCAACCATTTTGAAATCATATGACATGACTGTAAAATGGAACTTTACAAACATACTAATGGTGATATGTTACATTTATTACATGAAAATCTACCACTCCAATTTGTGCCGCGTTTACCCCAAAAGAAAAGAAATATGAGTTTATGATTATTAGTTTCCCCAATTAAGAAAATGTAAATATAGACAAAAATCTTTTGCAATACCCAACTTCTTTTATTGTTTAGCTAAGGGTTTAACATTTGCTAATATCAATTCAGGAGATTTCCCCACTTAAAAACTGTGTGCATAAGACACAGTACAGTAGTACAGTGGTGTGTACCTTTATATATATCTGTATATATTTGTCAGAAACTATTCTCCAAAAATGGGCATGACAAAAAGATGCAGTAATATTTGGTATAGTGATAAGGTAAGCCAATTGTACAATAAATTATTCTGACATCTTTTATACAATGAAGAATCACGCACAGAAGCAATTCCCTCTCTAGAATGTATAGAGGAAGAAGAAAGAGCAAATACCCAGGGAAGGGATGGTAAGAAGAAACAAAAATTGGTGGTGAGATAAATAAAACTGAATAAAGTAGGAAAGAAAAGAGAAGGAATTGCTGTTTAGATGTCAAGAAAAAATCCTCCCAAGGAACCATTTGCACCTCTGCCTATTTATTTGTTTTCAATCAATGTTGCCTATCTATTCCTCTGTCACAATCCACCCCATTCCTACACAATTCACTGATAACTGGGGAGGAGTTATCATTTTCCTATTGATATATTTGAATGTCTCCGCCATTGTCATTTTCACAGTTTGAAAATTGTAATAATTACTACCTGGCCCAAACTGTAATTCTAAAGCCCTTGCTAATAAACCAATAATCCAACTGTACATAACACAAAGGCCATACTATTGTATTAAAGGTCTTCAAGAATTGTTAATTTTTAGACAGATTTGGATACTAAAGAAAGTGTTGGTGAATAATGTAAAAATGTATATTAATTAATATAGCTTTCAGTGATGGTAGACTGAAATATGCTAATTCTGAGTTCCAGAGGGGTAGTAGAACCTGCTTGGCTTCTTGTCTCTCTAGTCTTTTTGTAATAATGGTGACAGGTTAGAGATAGGAACCACATAGTTGCAAAGGAGAGTATGTTTTGACCATTCTGGTGAAATAAATATTACATTTATTAGTTGATTACCAGTAGTAATTGAAGATAGCTGTTTGAAATCAAATGTTGCCCTTTATTGATGTTAATAGTAAAATTTTAAGTTCTCCATGAAACTTAAATCCCCACAACATGAATATATTCTGGAGTCTGAAATTTTTTCATTGCTTTGAAAATTGCACTGATTTAAACACCAGGACAATTCCTATACTGCTGGTTTACTGTAAGTCTTGCCTCACTGTCCTGTATTGCTTTCTCACAGAAGGGAAGTCCAAATCTCATTACAGAAAATGGCAATACTCTTTTATTTTAATGAAGTTCCATTTTAAGCATAAGTATTTATGATTACCCTGATATTGCCATTTAAAAATAAACTTTAAGAAATTGGAAGTATCAAATTGTCTCCAAATGAGAATGGTAGGCTGTCAGCTTGCTCAATATTCACAAAAATCCATTTTCCCATTCCATAAATTAAGTGCATTGAGCAATTCCTCAAATATGATTCACACAGAAAATAAAGTTATTTTTGTTGTACAGTACTATTCTATTGTTAAGGATAAACCTGATGCAATATTAGGCAAGTCCGTGCCTTAAATATATAAGCACACATAATTTACCCCCAAATTTATGTATTACAAACTTAGTCACACAAATATTTTTTCTTCATGATAACTGTTTCATATATTAAAGTTCAAAAGCTTCTAGTTTGCAAACTCTGTACCTGCATGAACAAGCAATGACTGTTGTTTTGTATGTCAGGATTCCAGCAGTGGCTTATTTATTTCATTTTTGTTGATCTGTCATTTCTCGTGAAAGACTCACTTATTTTTTATACATTGTGATTCTTTTCCTTTGGTTTCAACAGTTATGATAAACCACGATACCAAAAAGTATTATAAACTGATGAGTATTGAAAAGTATATGCATTGGGGGGGGGGGCAATGTTTTACTTCATCAAACTTGGTCGTTTCAATTCAAACATTAAAACTAGGGAAATATCTTGCAGATAGTCTCAAAAGAAAATGTTTTTTGAAATTCACATTAGATACATCTTAATTTTAGAAGAAAATATTTTGTTTTCTTCCATGCATTGCTTCTATAAATTGACTTGCAAAGGAAAAACAATTCTAAAACTATAATTTCAAATATTCCTTCCCCCCCAAAAAAATTTTCAAAATGAGAAATGAATTTTAGAAAATTCAAATATATGAAATATTCATGTATTTTTTTGTGTGCTGTGTCTTCCTGGTGAAAAAGTAGACCTCTTTCCGTTTTGTCCTCCATATGACTTATGCAATGAATCCAATGTTTATTCATGACCTCAAATTCCTCAAGATGTAAAGTAGGAGCTATGCATCGAGTACAGGTTGTCAATGGGATTGCCCACTGTTGATTGTAAGGGCCCAGGTTCTGTAGTTGCTAAGAAACAGTTGCTCTGGTTGCTGAAGGAGGTGTCATCACTATCCATCTCACAGAAAATGGGTTCAGAACCTTCACAACAGAAAAAAAGTAGCATCCTTTGAAGAGATAAGTCATATTTGGAGCCACAAAAATGAGTTAAAACTGTTCAATGCAACTGTACTCTAATATAATTTGTATATATTTAAATAATAAATAGAAAAGTTGACAACCATTTCTGAATATCATGGCTGCTAGATATGAAACTGTAAGATTCCAGTTGATTACTAAATGGTGGCAAACATATTTAAAACCCTAGTTTGTTGCTGATATCTTAGTGGTCATCTGGAGTTTTGTAATCTAGATCTATTGGGGAGATAAGATACTAGAACTGGCCTAGATACATACTATAGGCTGGAAATGTCTAATGATCAAATTTCCAGAAAATTGATAAGATGAACTCACCAGTTTGGTGTAGTGGCTAAGGTCCTGGGTTAGAAACCAAGATGTGTTGCTCAAATTTATTACTATTATCTTACTTTAAGCCAACATAGTAAAATTTATATTCTAAAAGGTGCAGTATAAACCAGATGTGTGCAACTCATAGGCCAAGTGCTGTATGAGGATCTGGATAGCTAGTAATGCAGCCCCACAAGATCATAAAAATATTAAAAAATAAAGGTTCATTATTCATATACATTTACTATATTATATATTCTATTTGGCCCAAGATAATTCCTCTTCACTTATTGAGGCCTAGGCAATTCAAAAGGTTGAACAACCATGGTATACACTATTATAGTACCAAAATAATCATCACAAATAGGAATGGTTAGCTGCCTCTGAAAAAAAAACCAAGAAAAAGAAACCTAAGCAAGCCAGGAGCTGGATAGTACTCAGAGACCATCTGGAAATAGTTGTAAGGTAACCTAGGAAGACAAAAAATGAGGGATCCTTGGTGCTCTCTTGAGCTTGCTTGTTTTCTTGCATACATTTCATTACCCAAACTAGGTAACATCATCAGTAATGAAACTTCTGCACCCCTCCTTTCAACCCTGGGCTATAAATATTCTCCTTTATTGGAAGCCAAAAAAATGTAGAAAAATGCAAGGGCAAACTTGTAAAATATTGTTGCCAAGAAAACTACATGAAGAGTCCATATACTGTAGTCACCTGGAATTAAGCTCAAACTGAGGGAGTCTTTATCAGTATCATATCACTTTAAACCTGGCTGCTCAAACTTACCATAAATGTAGTCTTAAAGACTACATTAAGTCTTACATTAAAGTCATAGTTGTTAACCTTGGAGAAAATGAATTTTGAACAATTTAAGGTTAAATTCCTAGGAGCGCTTCTCCACAGATACTTCATGACATCCCAACTTGAAACTGTTAAAGAGTTTTGCTTAATTGAGGTGATACATTGCATCTACTTACACAGAAGAGAATATAGATGTTATCTGAGCCTTTTCAGTCCTTACCATAAGGGTGCATGTGGTCCCCTGGCATCTGTGGGGGAGTAAGTCCTTGCTGGAAGGAATCTGAGTTGTAGACACTATGATCAATAACCAACATTTGTTGTGAGGCTGGTTGCAAAGTTGTGTATGAATTCATGATTCCTTCAAAATTAGTGCTGTTGCCATTGCTTGTCTGAGCTGGAAGACAAGGAAAAATGAAAAGTTTTTAATTTTTAGCTCACCTTTAATTTTGATCAACATGAGGTGGTGTACATACTTAATATTCGCATTTCCTATACTCCATACAACAATAATACTATGAGGTAACCTGACCTGAGAGAAAATGACTGACTGAAAGTCATCCAGCCAGCTTTCATACTCAAGGAAAAACTAGAACTTACATCTTGGTTTCTAGCCCAGCACCTTAGCCACTACACCAAAGTGGTTTCATGTGTATAAGTTCATTTTATCAATTTTCTGGAAAAAAAAAAAATTTTATAAAAGTTTTATTGATTTTAACAACAAATAAAAACACATAAAACATAAAACATAACATAAGAACATTGTCATTCTTCATAAATTTACAGACAGTGTATCGGTTGGTTTATCACTC